GCCTACTGCAGGCGGGAAGCCCCGATCCATTTAATAATTACATATATAAAGTCAAATGGCCTACTGCGCTGCGCAACTCAATCCCATAAATATCCTAATAATGGACATTTATTACTGAGTGTGAAATGTATATTTTAGAACAATTAATTCAACAGCATCACGACCCCATGGCTCCTTAAGTATCGGCACATAGTCTGAACATGATCTTTATTACTAGCCTCGACTTAACTCCTCTAACACGTGCCACATGTTCAGATAATAACATGATTCCTTAATTTTACAACATAACAGGATTTATTCAGGACACAATTTGTGTGGTGCACGTCTACATGTTCGTCACCTATCATGTGAGTCACCTTCAACAATTTATATCATACCAAATTAGGGGATTCATACCCTCAGAACCAAGTTTAGAAGTGTTACTTACCTCAACCCGTATAATTCTTTATTCCGCTATGCCTTTGCCACGAGAATTGATCTCTGAAAGCCTCGTATCTAGCCACAATTAATTCGATTAAATCAATACCAATTATCGTAATTAATTCCATAAGAAAATACTAATATTTTCCAATAAAATCCGAAATTAACTCAAAAATCGCCCGTGGGGTCCCTGTCTCGGAACCATACAAAAGTTACAAAATATGAACGCCCATCCAACCACGAGTCCAACCATACAAATTTCACCAAATTCCAACATCAATTCGACCCTCAAATCTTCAATTAAAGTCTTTGAAGATTTCTACCATTTTCAACATAATCTTTACCTATTTGAACTCAACACTCTTTCCATAAACCTTATTGATACGTATAAATAATACTCTTACACCCAAGAATCATACTCTTAATTACCCATCATTACCCAAATTCGAAATTGAAGATTATGGGTTAGAACCTTACCTCTTTGATGAAGAATTTGAGGGATTTCTTGTTGGATTTCAAGGCTTGAACAAGAATTTAATGAACAAGACACTTTATCTACTTTCTCTCTCTAGAACACTCTCACTTCTCTCTAAAATCATCATATAATTGCCCCAAAATATGCCCCAAAACCTATTTATCAAAATGGGGTCGGGCTATAAAAATAGGAAAATTACTCTTCCGAAAACAGGTATGCGGTCGCACAATGGACAGCACAATGGGTACGTGGGTAGCACAATGGACCGCAAAATCACTGCCGAAAACTGGGCTGCGCTGGGCATATCGGCGACCATTTCGCAGTCGCATAATGTGTCATTATACGATCGCATAATGATTCTGCGGTCGCACATCTGACCGCAGAATTGTATTTTTCCAGCCTTTGGTATTTTGGTCATAATTTCTTATAGGAATGTCCAAATGACGAACGATTTAAAGCGTTAGAAACTAGACTCAAAGATTTTTCATTTGATAGGAAATACACCCAATAACACTTCGTATCATAAGAGTTTTTCTCATTTGAAATTAGGTCTTGTGCGAACTCACTTAAAACTTTAGTCTTATGAAATTTCCAACTTTTACATTCGATGCCGAAACCTATCGAATCAAATCCGATTGACCTCAAATTTTGCACACACATCATAAATGACACAATGAAGCTATTCCAATTTTCAGGATCGGATTCCGACCTCGATATCAAAAGGTCAACCCCCGGGTCAAACTTCCCAAAAATTCAACTTTCGGCATTTCAAGCCTAATTCCACTACGGACCTCTAAATAATTTTTCGGACACGCTCCTAAGTCCAAAATTACCATACGGGGATATTGGAATTATCAGAATTAAATTCCGAGATTGTTTACACATAAGTCAATATTCGATCAACTATTTCAACTTAAGCTTCCAACATGAAATTTGTTCTTCCAAGCTAACTCCGAAATACCTTACAACCAAAACCGACAATTCACACAAGTAATAATACCTCGTAGGAAGTTATTCAAGACTTAAAATATTTGAAAGGAGCGTAAATGCTCAAAACGACCGATCGGGTCGTTACAAAGAAAAAATAAAGAATCCTCCTAATTGTAGATGTCTTACATGCACCAAACAAAAGCTTTTAAAAAAGGTGAACCACGTTGGATTTGAACCCCCACCATTGGGCTGAAAATGATCCTACCTTGCCAATGGCACCTTGAGCCATTTTGTTATTGAGGGTGCCACTTAAAATATTTGTATGCATTTCTTCTATATATACATGCATGTATACATACTATTGTATAGTCTCGGCCAAAGCTTGTGGGTGACGTACCACCCCATCCGTTACACATAGATCCGTTCCTGCTCCCTTGGACGACAAGATGCGGGAAGCGAGGCTTAGGTGGTTCTGGCACGTGCAGAGGAGGAGCCTAGATGCCCCGGTTAGGAGATGTGAGCGGTTGGCTCTGGCAGGCACGAGAAGAGATAGAGGGCAACCTAAGAAGTATTGGGGCGAGGTCATCAGGCAGGATGTGATGCGACTTCAGATTTCCACGGACATAACCCTTGATAGGAAGGTGTGGAAGTCGAGCATTAGAGTTGTAGGTTGGGGGGTAGTCGAGCATTTTTCCGCATTGTATCGGCTAGTGTGATAATATTTTTCCTAGGACTGTTAGCGATTTTTGTAATTATTATTATTATTATTGTCCTTCCATTTATTTGTTGTCTCTTACGATGCTGATATTATTTTTCTTGTTTCTATTGTTGTTACGGATCTATTGTCTCTGAGCCGAGGGTCTTCCGGAAACAGCATCTCTACCCCTAAGGGGTAGGGGTAAGGTTTGCATACACCCTATCCTCCTCAAACCTTACTAGTAGGATTCTACTGGATTGTTATTGTTGTTGTCTCCGTATCCTTATTAATGGTACAATGCATACTAAAGCCTCAATGCTTTTTCTACAACCATGTCTTAGCACTTTATTATCAATCTGCAGGTGAAACCAATTGTCAAAGCTATTGTATTATTATGTGGTTTACTGAAATCCGGACACTACCAGCAGATATTGAACCAGCAAGAAACTAATGCAGCATTTAGATAAACAAAAAAGGAAAACAACCTGCAATGTCAATAGTAGTATAATTCTCAGGCACCCACAATATTATGAAGAAACACCAGAAAGAGTTAGACGAAAAAGTGGACCTTGAAAGAATGGTGGAAGAGTAAGGCCTGGAAAATCTTCTAAAATGTATAGTCAAGTTATTCAAGAGAGCTTTCAGGCTGTATCCGCTCCGTATAGGAATGCGGATAAAGAGAAAATGACAGAAACAACAGGGCCTAATAGAGGGACTGCCTCCTACTTAACCTAACACTTCACTAGAGCCAAAACAACAATGTTTACAAACTCTTATAAACCTAAGGACTATCTCTAACCCTTGTAGCTAAGGGTGTACATGGACCGGGTTGGTTCGGTTTTTATCAAAATCAAACCAAACCAACTATATCGGGTTGGATTGGTTCGGTTTTGTCGGGTTTTTCAAATTTTTCGTATTTTTTTGTTATATGAATATTATTTCAATCTTACTTTGCTAAATTTTGATAAGTAAATATGTTTTTAGTAAAAATTAAAAAAATTGAAAAATATATGAGCTATTAAAATATTCTTATCGAAGAATTTTCTTAGTAACACATGATATGTATTTTTTAGTCGTCTGATAATAATTTTACGTTGATGTACACTTTCAAGTTAACCGAATTTAATAATGAAATATAAAAATAAATATGAACCTATATAATGATATGTTGTATTTAATTTTAAATTATTAAAATACCATTTCACATTCAAAATATATATAAGCATTTAATAGATCTTGACATATGAATATGGAAGAACAAAAAGATTGACGTATTTCACTAACATTTGATAAGAAAGTGATCGTACAACCCATCATTTAAAGTTACTTAATATGAAACACTTCATATTTAACTAAAAATTACATCCCATAAGAGAATCACAAATATTTCTAGATATTTTTAAAGAAAATTCTATAAAAAGTTTTAGAAGTACATATAAAAATTATATATTTATATGTCGGTTTGGTTCGATTTTTTTTACTCAATACCAAAACAAATCAAACCAAACCTAATCGGGGTTTTTAATCAGTTTGGTTTGACTTTTCGGTTTGGTGCAGTTTTCCGGTTCGGTTTGTACACCCCTACTTGTAGCAACCAGCCACAGGTTATTGCGACAACTTCAAGTTAACTCTAACTTGAATAATACAACTCAAGTACCTAATACAATTTGCTTCTACTAAAGCTTAAAGGTACAACTCAAAAGCCCTACTACAATTGAACTAGAATAAAAGACAGACACGTGGAACTAGTTCTTCTATCTGGTTCATGTAGCTTCAGATTCATACTTCTTGAAACACATAGGAATTGCTTGCAAAATGCCTTGCTATTTTGCTGACAATTCTTGCTTAACTTCAGCGTGTATGTGCCACATGTAAAAAAGAACACAACTAATATTTATAGAGTTAGTAGAATAAGGATTAACTAGAGTTCTAATAATTTACTCTTCCTTGGTGGAAGAGTTTTAGTTATCTTCAACTTCTAACTCTTTTCTTATCTTGAATAGAGTTCTCTCCAAGAAAGGAGTCCTTCTCCTTATCAAATATACAACCTTTTCGTTCAGGGATTATCAGAAATAACCGCTTATACTTATATCTTTCACGTGCATACCTTTTGCTTGATTCTGTCTGTCACCTGTATACAATTTTCATAGACCTGGTTCATCCATGTGTTCCTTTGTCAATCATCAAAACTAAAACAACTCAGTTCAACAAATCCCCAACTACAAACCCTCATATATAGATCACAAGTAGTTCGCAACCTATAAGAGAAAAGTTTTTCCAATATTTCGAGGATAATAAGTTTTTCTCTTCCAAATCTGTTAGAACAATATGAGTTTTCCAAACCTATAGGGATTATGCATTCCCAAAAATTACAAAAAAATAATTCAAGCCACAAATAACAAATCTTTCCCTTGACTTGAATTTTTTCATCATATTAAACAATGTGTCTTTACCTTGCCCTCAGCCATTGCAAGGGCTCTATCCATTGTTAAGAGACTCAATCTCTTCAGCTATAATACCAATTCGCCGATTTGCTTCTCTACTCGAAATAGCTTCTGGATAGCTATTACACTCAAGTACATCAACGATCTCTGCAAGTGATAAAGCAAATCTCACAGGATTTGTATATCCAAGAAGATTTTCATCAACTGAGTTTACAAATCTTTACGGTCGATTGATCACACTTTCTTCCATCCGTTACACATAGATCCGCTCCTGCTCCCTTGGACGACAAGATGCGGGAAGCGAGGCTTAGGTGGTTCTGGCACGTGCAGAGGAGGAGCCTAGATGCCCCAGTTAGGAGATGTGAGTTGGCTCTGGCAGGTACGAGAAGAGGTACAGGGCAGTCTAAGAAGTATTGGGGCGAGGTTATCAGGCAGGACATGACGCGGCTTCAGATTTTCGAGGATATAACCCTTGATAGGAAGGTGTGGAAGTCGAGCATTAGAGTTGTAGGTTAGGGGGTAGTCGAACATTTTTCCACGTTGTATCGGCTAGTCTGATAGTGTTTTACCTAGGACTGCTAGCGATTTTTGTAATTATTATTATTATTATTATTATTGCCCTTCCATTTATTGTTGTCTCTTACGATGCTGATATTATTTTTCTTGTTTCTGTTGTTGTTACGGATCTATTGTCTCTGAGCCGAGGGTCTCCCGGAAACAGCCTCTCTACCCCTCCGGGGTAGGGGTAAGGTTTGCATACACCCTACTCTCCCCAGACCTCACTAGTAGGATTCTACTGGGTAGTTATTGTTGTTGTTGTTGTCTCCGTGTCCTTATTAATGGTACAATGCATACTGAAGCCTCAATGCTTTTTCTACAACCATGTCTTAGCACTTTATTATCAATCTGCAGGTGAAACCAATTGTCAAAGCTATTGTATTATTATGTGGTTTACTGAAATCCGGACACTACCAGCAGATATTGAACCAGCAAGAAACTAATGCAGCATTTAGATAAACAAAAAAGGAAAACAACCTGCAATGTCAATAGTAGTATAATTCTCAGGCACCCACAATATTATGAAGAAACACCAGAAAGAGTTAGACGAAAAAGTGGACCTTGAAAGAATGGTGGAAGAGTAAGGCCTGGAAAATCTTCTAAAATGTATAGTCAAGTTATTCAAGAGAGCTTTCAGGCTGTATCCGCTCCGTATAGGAATGCGGATAAAGAGAAAATGACAGAAACAACAGGGCCTAATTGAGGGACTGCCTCCTACTTAATCTGATGGTGACTTCAAATAATATCTGTGCTTAATTCCCGGTTGCTCCTTTGTCCCTCTGAGAGATTGTATAACTAAATAACCAGTTTTCGTTTCACATATCTATGTTTGTTTAAGGCTCAATGACCTCATTATAAATACTTGTAGGTGTAGGTGTCACCCCTTTGGTTGAGATAAAAATGTTGTTAGATAATGCTACTTTAATTTGCGATTTTAATCTTTTGATTTGTTAACCAGAATACAAAGGAAACAAGAAAATAACAGGTCAATTGTAAACACATGAGACTATTGGAAAACACCAATATAATTAGGCATGAATGCATTATCACAGCAGTATTTGCAGAATAGCAGGTAAAGCACACAACAATCACAAATATCAAATGAGTAGAACCTGAATATGAGGTGTCCAATAGGTACAACCCGAAGATAACGTGTCTAAATTTAAATTCTTCTTTCCATCAACCATTTAGTCTATAAGTAGGAATAGCCATCAAAGGCTTTTCTTTGCACAATACTATCCCAAACTCCTCATCAACGTCTAAATCCAGAGGCTGCATACCATTTGGAATCTCCCAATCAAAGCAATGCACCAATTGTGCAACCACAAGGCGAACAATGGTAATCCCCAACTGCATTCCGGGGCAGCTTCTTCTACCAGAGCTAAATGGTAAAAGTTGGAAGTGGCATCCACGAATATCTACACTGCTCCCGACAAATCTCTCAGGCAAAAACTTCTCAGGCTCAGGCCAAACATTTGGATCCCTCTGAATTGCATAACAATTTATCATGATTCGGGATCCCTTTTGTATGTGGAAGCCGTCGACTACACAATCTTCCATGGCCTCATGATGCATTACTAGCACTATGGAATGCAGCCTCAGGCCCTCTTTTACAACCATGTCTAAGTACTTTAAATTCTCCAGGTCTGATTCTTCAACCATTCTGTCCATGCCTACAACTTCTTCTAACTCTCTTTGTAATTTCTTCATTGCTTGAGTGTGCCTTAGAAGCTCAGTGAGAATCCATTCTACTGATGTGGCTGAAGTGTCCATTGCTGCAATTAGCATGTCCTGTATAGAAAAGGAAGCAGAATCAATATTAAAGATAGTGGTATTTTGAGCTTATATTAGTATGTGAATGGGATACAAATACATACTAAGAGGATAGCTTTTATATGTCGACAATCAAACTGAAATTCTGCTTCTCCTGATTGCATAATCTCCATCATGGTGTCGACAAATCCTTGGCTTGTTTCTCGTCATGAGACTGAACATGATCATCAATGATCCTCTCAACAAACTTATCAAGCACCTTTGAAAGATCCTTGAGTTTGCGAGTGAATCCCTGGAGATCAATAACACCAAGAAAGGGGAAAAAATCTCTAAGATTTGGTGTTCCTGCTAAATGCACAACATCTTGAACTACAGCTTTGAATCCCCTCTTATCCAAGTCCTCATCCATGTATTTGTTTCCAAACACCATTAAGCAAGTCAAGTTAGCATTCAACGACGTAATCTTTGCACTAAGATCAACAGCAACGCAATCATGAGCTTGTTCTTTAAGTGATTCAATTAGAAGTTCAACTTCTTGCTTTCTCATGGATCGAAATGAATTCATCTTGTGGCTATTCAAAAGGTGAACAGTGCACAGTTTGCGCATGTTACGCCAATATGCACCATACTTTGCAAAAGTCAAATTCTTTTGGCCATAGTCCAAATACTGGGATGCTTCATGATGAGGCCTACCAGCAAATATGTGATCATATGTCTTTAGGAACTTCTCAGCTGCATCAGCAGACGAATTAATCGTACATACATAATAGGACCATGTTTCTTGGCTAGTTTTTGTAAATCTTGGTGTAGATTTTTACCTAACAAATGAAGATGTCCTAAAATGGGAAGCCCTTTTGGACCTGGAGGAAACCTTTTTCTCTTCTTAATGTTTAGCAGCTCATAGAAGGCATATACTAATAGACCAACAATTAGAGTTGTTGCCCATATATAAGCCATGGCTAATATGACTTTGTTAACTTCTAAGAGCGCTAATGGAAGATGATACAATGTACATATGTTGGTGCAAGAGCTCGGACATTGAGGATATATATATATATATATGCACCATTAATAGCTGGGATGTCAATCTTTACCAAAAAAAGAAAATGTGAGATGTCAATGTTCTTTTCTAATCTATACTGAGAATAGTCTTCAGTAAACTGTTCTAAACTCTCAGAGACCAATCTTATCTTGGATCCTCTCTGAAGGTAAATATTTTTTAAACTCGAAGGAGGTCAAAATAATTGATACTTACTCCTATTTAATATGGCCAAATATCAATACAAGTAATAATCCCAAGGAGTATTTAAGTTATATATCAGATAGCATAATTTATCAAGACAATTTAATCGTTTGTAACATGCTATTACTTCATTTTTCAGGTCACAATATCAGAGTTGCTATAATGAGTTATCTGTTATTATAGGTCAACTTAACTTGACGACATTGCACAAATTTAAACAAGGATGACTTTGCCCATCATGTTCATTGACAGAACTTCCCCACTCTCCCACCAAAACATTTAACAACATAACAGACATCAAGAAAGGGAAATTTACGTAATGTTTAAATTTTGAAACCCATGATGAATAATCCACCAAAAAGCAGTGGAATTCTTTTTAGAGTAATATACATTAAACTAACATCACTCAATTAATATATACACATTTCCTGTAATTTTGAACCAAATACGTAATACCCTTACCCTAGAACAAATTAATACTGTTAACAGCAGTGTATCAAAAATGGCTAAATTAACCCCACGTGGCTCGTCATAGATGAAACCTATAGCCAAGGCAAGTATGTTTGTTGTTTAACTGCCAAAGGAATGGGATCAATGACCCTACACAAATGTCAACGGCAAAGTAGCCTTTAAGTTTTGGGACCGCCGTCTTCATTCATCGCTATCTTCTTATTATACTGCTTCTATTCCAAAAGCATTGGCAAGAGGCATGACATTACAAGATATAACTATAATCCACGGCAATTACTGAAGGAAGTATTGATAGTTTTTTGAATCAGAATTGAGATCCGAAAATTAAATTTAGTATCTACCAAAGTAAATGGTTCTTTGATTGCAGAAATTCCTGTTGATGGTAATATTAGTGGATTCAGTGAACAAAATGAATCATCAATTCATATGTTTTTTTTTTTTTGAATTTCCTGAGTTATACACCGCATCAAAAACAACTAGAAATTGATAGTAATGTTTATAATGGCAGTAATAGCCCAACATCATTCATCACAGTAAAACATGATATAAGTGCTTAAACTTTCATTTAACAGCTCGTTTTGAGTACATCACTTAGCTTGCGAACTTATAAAAGTACTTATATAAAGTACATTGTAGCATTAGATGCAACACAGACTAGAAAACATGGATAATGCATTCTCGCTCAGTCTCTTGTTCCCATGCTCATACATTAACATTTTAGCATTAGAGATGTTAAGCAAACATTTGGAAGACATGAACTCTGAGAAATCCTAAGGTACATGGACATCTCATTCTCAACATACCTCAACGATTCCTCAATCTAACTGTTACGGAAGATCGTGGATTAACTAGCACATAATCAGTGGCGTACGCAGAATTTTTCGCAAGCGGTGTTACATTTAAATAAATGAATACATAAATAAATTATTATAATATTATATTAATAAAAAGGAATTTAAATGCATTGATGTCATTTTAATGTTCAAAAAAGAAAGACAAAAAAAGTGAAAAAAAATTTCGGAAAAAAGGCTAAACAAAAAGTTACCTTTGTCTCAAATAAGTAAAGATGAACTTAGCACGGTATGTTCATTTTCAGGCTAGGGCAGTGTATTGCAAAGGGGTGACCAGACCAGCCATTTTTACATGGGAAAGGGGCTAAATATACCCCTCAACTTTCATATATTGTCTACATTTAACGTATGTTATACTATCAGACCAAATCTATCCCTACCATTATACTGCCGGGCCAAATTTATCCATACCGTTATACTATCGGGCCAAATTTACCTTACAATCAGCAAACTTTTAAAAATACCCCTTGATCTGTTAAGTAATCCAAAATCTCCCAAATTTCTTTGTTCTTCTTGGTCCACTATTTTTGAAATAATTGGCATTTACCTACTTTCTGAATTAGAGAAAAAAATATATTAAATAATACAACCGAATAAATAAAGTATAGTAAATTGAAAAATCTAAAATAGGTAGCTTTTCTAAATTCTAAGAGTATTTACAACATCCCAATTTTAATGAATTCGTTGCACCAGATGTATGGAGACTTTGCAACTATTAGTGATTGAAGTTGAAGTTTCTCGGAGACTTTACATTGTCTAATTCAACTTTGCATTAATTAAATGCCTATATATTTTGCACTCTTAAGTTAGTCGATCGAACTCTATACTAACCAAACAATGACAAAATGTATTTGAATATGCATGTACATACATGATGATAAGCTGCATATAATACACAATAAATAGACCCACTAAATTCTACGGTGTGTATATGATTGAAGAATAAATAAAATATTAAACCAATTTTATTTATTATAAAAAGAGAAATGGGTGGATTGGTAATAAAAAAAATTATGAATAATTTGTATAGTCTAGTAACTTTAGCATTCACATCAATAGTAATTTTTGAAATTAAAATAGTGGACCAAGAAGAACAACAAGTGATTTAAATAAAAGGAATTTTGGATATTTTGGATTACTTAACATATCAAAGGGTATTTTTAAAAATTTGCTGATTGTAAGGGTAAATTTGGCCTGATAGTATAACGGTAGGGGTAAATTTGGCCCGATAGTATTACGGAGGTTAAATGCAGACAATATACAAAGTAGATGGGCATATTTGGCCCTTTTCCCTTTTTACATTGATTTGCTAAAATTAAAAAATAACCAAATTATTCCCCACAGAGGATAGAACCTGCGACCTTTTTGAAGTAAGGTTGGAGTCTTTACTGCTACGCTGGAGACTGTTTATGTCCTTAGTAGTGTCACCTAAATTATTTCATTCAGCTTGAATGTTCAGATATCATTTTCACATATATATTTAGTTAATTTTTCCGACGAAGCGGTATCACGTGACACCGCTTCACTTAATGTAAATCTGCCCCTACACATAATGACACACAAAGTAAATAAAGAAGAAAAAGCAACACAAGGATTTAATGAGATCCAGCTAAGCCTAATCCTCGGGACAGAAGTAGAGAGAGTTTTTCACTATGAATGAGAAGAAAACTACAGTATAATCACTAGAATCCTGATGTTTTATACTTCAATACCACACGGGGGGGGGGGGGGGGGGATGATTTGTGTGATGTGCAATTTTCGTGTGCACTGGATTATAGAAGGACTTGATTCTTCTATGTATTTCTTAATCTACTATTGCGGAATAAATAATGCAGAAAGTAAAGAATATAAGTATTTTTACGTGAAAAACACTCGACTCAAAAGGTGAAAAAAACCAACAACCTACTTCCCATTAGGATATTTTTCAATACTTCACTAAAACTGTGAGCCAAAACAACAATATTTACAAACTCTTGTAAACCTAAATATTACCTCTAACCCCTGTAGCAACCAACCACGGGTTGTTGCGACAGCTTCAAGTTAACCCTAACTTGAATAATACAACTCAAGTACCTAGTACAATTTGCTTCTATGAAAGCTGAAAGGTACAACTTAAAAGCTCTACTACAATTGAACTAGAATAAAAGACAGACACATGGAACTAGTTCTTCTATCTGGTTCATGTAGCTTCAGGTTCGCACTTCTTGAAACACATAGGAATTGCTTGCAAAATGTCTTACTATTTTACTCTTAATTCTTGCTTAACTTCAGCATTTGTGTGTCACATGTAAAAGAGAATACAACTAATATTTATAGAGTTAGTAGAATAAGGATTAACTAGAGTTCTAATATTTTACTCTTACTTGGTGGAAGAGTTCTAGTTATCTTCAACTTCTAACTCTTTACTAATCTTGGATAGAGCTCTATTCAAGTTAGGAGTCATGCTCCTTATCAAATATACAACCTTTTCGTTCAAGGGTTATCAGAAATAACCGCTTATACTTATCCCTTTCACGTGCATGCCTTTTGCTTGATTCTGTCTGTCACATGTGTACACTGTCCATGGACCTGGTTCATGCATGTCTTCCTTTGTCAATCGTCAAAATCAAAATCGCTCAGGTCAATAAATCCCGAATAACAACCCCGGTATATAGATCCCAAGTAGTCCGAAACCTATAAGAGAAAGGGTTTTTCAATATTTCGAGGATAATAAAAAAAAATTTCCCAAATCTATTAGAACAATGAGTTTCCCAAACTTATAGGGATTATGCGTTTTCAAAAAAATACAAGAAAATAATTCAAGCCACAAATAACAAATCTTCCCCTTGGCTTGAATTTTTTCATCACAAGAACAACGTGTCTTTACCTTGCCCTCAGCCCTTGCAAGGGCTCTATCCATTGTCGCATACATTAACTAAGTCTAGGCAACGCCTAAACTTGTTAAGAAACTCATTCTCTTCAGCTATAATACCAATTCGCCGATCTGCTTCTGTTCTCGAAATAGCTTCTGGATAGCTATTACACTCAAGTACATCAACGGTCTCTGCAACTAATAAAGCAAATCCCACATAATTTGTATATCCAAGAAGATTTTCATCAACTGAGTTTGTAATGCTATACGGTTGGTGTTTCACATGTTCATTAGCATGATCATTATTTTACACCTCCTCCACTTCTCTTCTTTTATAAATAATGGGTTGAGCTAGTAGAGATTCAATTTCCCACTCTCTGTGGTCACCTACATCACGATATGTTTTTGCTATTGACTTCTTCCTCTGACTATCGAGTGAGCCAGATTTATTAAATATCATGTTCTACTTATAATTATTCGTTGAGTCTTTTGATCTATGTACCAAAACTTATAACCTTTCACTCCTATTGCATATCCTAGA